ACGACACTATTAGGATAAAATGGGCCCACTTAGTACCGCTGACGTAGTTGGTCCTTTAGGGAATGACAATGGCAAAGGTGGTAAGCAGGTGTGCTGCAGTCAAGAGCTGAGGTAACATGGAGCGGAGAGGCTGGAACCTGGGCACTGGCAGCAGGGGGAACTCAGGGGTCTGGAGGCAGGTGGACAGTGGTATTACAGCATAGGGAAAAGCAGATGTTACAGCCAGGCCACCAAATCTGTATATATCCAAACACAGCACAAGCTCAGGGCATATGAAGGACTGAGACAGCAAGAAGGATCAAGAAAGCACAAACCCCAGGGAGACAGGCTCCAGCTTTGAGCAGGCAGGAGCCCAGGAGGACAAGGAGGAACAGAGGTTTGCAAGGCCCAACACATCCCGAAGAGTGGAACGTGTGATTCTTAAGGAGCTGTCCCAAGTCCCTTCCAACCAGGGTCTGCCAGGAGCGAAGGGAGATAGGAAAGAGTGGCTGGGGAATGCAGAGCTCAGATGTTAATCAAAGGACTTAGCAGAGAAAGGGGTTTTCCATAGCCTCACATGGGAATTGCACACACAAGAGACTGGGAAATGAAGAAGCAGAAAAATCCAGGGTCAGAGATGTTACCACACAACTCAGGGGAAAAAGAGAATGTGGAAAATGTGAGCAGGGAGCGAGGGATGGAGTGAGCAAAGAAGAGGGGTAGGGGGAAAACACAAACTTGTATCCTACAGATACTACAGAAGACAGAGGGATGAGTTGTAGCATCCTGACATTATTCCCCAAGGATGTGCTTTATTCTTCTCCTAGTGAGCCAAGTCTGAGCTGTAGAAAATACTGCGCAGCAGGCCAACATGGTGTGGCTTAGAACACAGGCTCTGAAATCAAAACCCAGCTCCTCTGCCTCCTAGCTTTGTGACCATAGGTGAGTTACTTTTCCCATCTGTTTCATAGCTTACTTAAATGTAAAATGAGGACAGTGCATTACTCTCTTCTGGGGGTGATTGTGAGAACTGAGAGATAATTCAGGTCAAAGCATGTAGAACAGAGGCTGGTATATGACAAGTGTCCAATAAACATTAACTTTTATTTGTGTTGAATTGTAAGTTATCATCCAGACAATACTTATGGACCATGTGCTAAACTGACATGGTGTCAGAGGATGAAGACACAAAGATGGAAAAGGCAGTGCTCCCCAGGAGCACACGGAGGAAACAGCTGCAGATCAATTTTGTGAGTGAATATGAGGCAAGAGAATGACTGGGATACAGGCATAGCCCAGAGGAGGTCTGGTCAACCCTGCTTGGAGATGGGGTGAGGTGGGGGAGTTAGGGAAGGCCTATGGAAGGAGAAGGTGTTTTGAACTAAGTCTCAAACACTGGGTATAAAAGCCAGTTGGATGTGATGGAGCATTCTGGGAAGCTGAGGCAGGAGGATTACAAGTTTGGGCCTAGCCTGGGCAAATAAGCAACTTAGAAAGACCCTATTTCAAATAAAGAAGCTTATGAGGCAAAGGACATGAGACCAGGGGTTAGAGCCTTAGATGCCACACAGAGGTGTCTAGACATCATCCTCTTATCCTGAGGGTGAGGGAGGAAAGAGGAGAAGAAACCAGAAGGACCAATATAGCAGCAGAGTGAACTGTGCCTTCTGCCCTAAAGGGCATTTGGGGGAAAACAGTCATTTCCTACACCCAGGCTGCACTCAGGCAGGAGTGGAGGGGGCCCAGAGTTTTTCTCATAACCTGATAGGGAAATCCCCAGGGGCTGTCTTACATCTGCTAGAGGTAACTGTTGCTCCTTATCCAGTTGCTTCAGGATACATGTTGTCCTTGCTGGTTTGATCTTCCTAAACATGAAAGTGATAGCCCATTATGCCCCACACCATCAGTGTCTAAGGAACTTCTAAATCTTTTTCTATCTTCACTCTACCCCCAAACTACAACAGGCTTTTTTTAGCTGCTTCTTAAGGGAGCAGTCTCCCTTCCACCTGTCCCATGTCTAAACTGTACCACCTGCCAAGGCTGCCCAGCCCCTGTCCCCTCACTTTTTAATACTGCTGATCCTCAGATCAGCCTTCTCCCTCCATGTCTGTTTCAAACAATAGGCAACAGTTCCTTTCATCCCCACCCCCCACCATGGAGATATGTTTTGTAGGCTAGATTATAAGGTTCTTAAGTCAGGGAAGAGCCTTACAAGCAGTTTCCCTACCAATTTTAGAATATAGTAATTTCTTAATGAATATTTATTGGTACAATGATGATTAAATGTGCTGGTTCCAGAGCTCCTGTGTGGAATGAGAAATTGAGTGTTTTCATTTCCTCTACCCATTTTCAGTAGAAAAAATCCTGCCTAGACTTCTCCTACTTTAGAAAGGGTGTTGGGGGGAGGTGCCAACAGACATAAAGGCAGAGTGACTGAGACACTGTGGGATGTTTAATCCAGCTTTGCCCAGATTGTCGATCCCAGATGACCCAGGCTGCAGAGCTGTGTCCCTACACCCTCCATGAAGGAGATCACACATGCATTGCGTACCGGGCAAAAATGAGGTCAGGTTTTGTCAACACCAATGCAGTTCACAAGTGAGCTCTACTGGCTGGATTTACAGGAACTGCAGAGTCATCTGTGTTACTGGAATTGCAGATACAAACCAACCTGCTGGGAAAAGAATTTGGGATAAATTGTGAACTTCAAAAAGTTTTTGCCTGGAAACTGAAGAGGTAACCATGGCAACTGGGAGGCAGGTTGAACTCAGAGGGCTGTTCATCTTCAGCAGGGAGCTTTGCGCTCTAGGATTCACCCGTCTGTGCACTGTGTGTTAATCCCTTTGTCTCTTCACTTTCTTTGTTGAACAAGAGAAAGTGCTAGCTCAGGAATCTGGAGATGGGGCCCTGGTTTCAACTGTTTCCAGTTCCAGGATGCTTACTGAAGGGCACCTCAGGCACTGCTGTTTTGTTGTCTAGAAAATGGAAATTTAAAACCTCCTCTAGCCTATTCACAGGGACACAGAAAGGACATGAGTTTTGAGGGGATTCTCTGCATAATCAGTATTATTGTTGTCATGCAGACTTGTCTGGGCTGATCTAAACATGGATTTGATCCATCCATAAACCCATTTTTGTTGCCTGGAGAACAGCTGTCTCACAGACAACACCCACATCTTTGCCTGGCAGCTGCATAATGAAAGCGTGACTCGGAGCATGAGCAGCACCAGGTGAAGCATCAACCTTCAGCTGGCCAACTCCGCCTGTGTGAACATCCTGCTGATGGGACTGGGAGGGGTGATTCACCCTGGGGACAAAGGACCACTGAGACAAACAGATGTCCAGAGGGCACACTCCCACTACTGGTTATACACTGCTGCCCTGCAGCAGTCCATCTTTGGGCCTGTGAGGAAGAAAGAAAAGCTGGGCTGCCGAGGCAGGAATGCAGATGAGATGCTGGAATCTGAGACCAGATGCAACTGCTTTTTGTGGGGCTGCTGTCCTCCCAGCTTTGTTCTCCACAAAATCAAAACATTTGTGAAGGGCCATGATTGGTGATTCAGTGTGCTGTTTTGTCTAACTAGGTCATCTTCCACTGGTCATACTCAAGGAAGGCATCTACTCTAACAAACAATCCCACAGTGTTCTGATTTTGATCTCTGTTGTCCAGCAGAGTGGCCTAGTGGACTTAGCCACCAACTCACAGGTCTCTCTCTCTCCGGTTTCCTTCCCTCCCTCTCAGTTCTGAGACCTCTCCCTGCAAATCTGCTCACAAGCCTCTGCCTCATAATGCATTTCCTGTGGAACCCAAAGAATTTATTTAGTCCCTCTCAACCATCTTATGAAATGAGTCCATTGGTGTCTTAGAGACAAGAAAAACGAGGGTATGGACAGATTAAGAAGTTTGCCCAAGGTCTCCCATCAATAAATGGTAGAGCCCTGGTTTGAAATCTGAAAGTACAGTTCAAATCTTGTACTCTTAACCTTACTTGCAGCTTCTAAATCGCAATTCCAAACTGGACACGGTTGCATACATCTGTAATCCCTGCACCCTGGGAGTTTGAGGCAGGGGGATTATGGGTCTAATCTTAGTCTGAGCAATTTAGCAAGACTCTGCGTAGGAAAAAGAAGGAAAACAAAACAAAACAAAACAAAAAACACAAAAAACCCTACAGAGAGCTGAGGGTGTGGCTGTAAAGTCTTTATGGGAGAGAGAGAAGTGGCGTGGTTATTTTATTACCTTTATCTCAGAGATAGGGACACTGAGTAAGTAACTGCTTACCCTAGGATCTCTGAGCAGTTACAGAGATAATGGAATTCTTGCTTTTTTTGCATTGGGAAAAGCATAGTTAATTCATATCTGAAATGTAAATTCTAGTGCCAATTTTAAAAAATCTGTTCATTTTTCAAAGTCTGCCTGAAAGTGCCTGGCACACAGGTGTTCGTTCAATAAAGCGCACACAGCTCTGCTGGGTGTCCCCATGTCTGTTGCTTCCAACTCTGCCTTTGGGAAACTCTCTTTACTTTCCAGTCCTCAGTTTCTTCATCTAGAAAATGGAGATGATGATGATGATGATGATAATGATGATGAGCTTACTCAGCGCAGTGGCCATTGGTGTAGGAACACAGTACACGGTAATTATCAGTATAATCATGATGCTGTTTTGCCCGGACTGCACCTCTTGCTCCTGTGCTTCAAGACCCAAGAGATTCAGATTTTCCTGTGATCGCCTCCGTGTGTGCCTCCCTGACCTGCCATCTATCTCCACGTAATCCCTCCTGACACCATTGCTTTGGTTTCCTGATTTTTCTAGAGGTCGGCGGGGTTTTTCCTACCAAGCAGGTGCACGAGGCTCGTCTCCGCAGCCTCTCGCTCCCCACTCTGGAGACTTCGGAGGAGTGGGTAGCCCCGCCGTGTAGCGCCCACCCCCGCTCTCCAATTGGTCAGAGGTTCTCAGCCCCACCCCTCCCCTCGAGAGAATAAAAGGCTCAGCAGCTACTGCCGGCCGCTTGCAGGTTGGTAAACTCAACCGGAGCAGACCGGTGCTTGTCCCCACAGCCCCCAGCCGCGATCCCACTGGAGCCAGTCACCATTTACACAGCGTGCTGCCCTGAGCCCGCAACCATGTGCCGCACCCTGGCTGCCTTTCCCACCACTTGTCTGGAGAGGTAAGAGCAGTTCAGCTATTCCGAGGAAAAAGTCCAAGCCCCACCAACTCTGAGGAAGCGGGGCTGCAGATTTGGGGATTTGGGCGGGAGGAGTGGCTCACTAGTGATTTGAGTAGAGGGGCAGGGAACACCATGATGCCAGGAGAAGTAGAAAGGAAAGGGAAGCTGAGCTCCGCTGCTTGCTGCGGTTCCTATCCTGTGACAAAAGGCAGTTCTCAGTCTGTGTCCTTTCTGCTAGAGACTCTGCCGAAGGAAGACTGTAATTGGCGCCTCCAGGCAGAACCGAGGCTGCCCTAGTTTCTTGAGCACTTGGTTTCCATTCCACTGCCCAGAGTTAGGGGCTTGTCTCCTTTGCCTTGGGAAGTCAGGAAGCTCCATTCTCTGTCCTACCCCCCCACCCCCAAGGATGTGCAAACTTACCAGAGAGCTATTCTGCAGCTTGTAACCCTTACTGAAGTTGGTGGCTGGGAAGGAGAAGGCAAAGGCGAAGGCAAGGATCAATTTCCACACAGCTTCAGAAATATCCTGACAAGCCTGAGGGATACTGAGCTGCTAGCCAAGAGGCACAAATATAGTTCAGTGTGACTAAGTAGGAAAAAACCAGTATACACAGTGCTGAAGAACTAGAAGTATAAGACCTCCCAAGGTACAGCTCAAACTTACTTTTGTTGCTTCAGTCTTGATAACGCTGAGAATGCTTGATAACACACGCTTTTGGCCCTGGGAACAGGCAGAGGTTTGTGCTGGTTGAGCAAACAGAATCCTTCCATGCTTATGTTTTGTCTTACAGAGCCAAAGAGTTCAAGACACGTCTGGGGATCTTTCTTCACAAATCAGAGCTGGGCTCTGATGCTGGCAATGTTGGCAAGTTTGACTGGGGCAGTAAACACAACAAAGAGGGGTAAGTTCTTTCCAGCCCAGGGCCCCCACAGGGGAGGGAGCCTGAGATGGAAAATAATAGGAGGAACTAGGACATGCTAGGAGGACCTAGGCAGCCTTTTGCTGGGGCTTTTAGTATGCCTTGTTGCTGTGGCTACTTGGCTTGGGGTGAGTGGATAGGTGGCCCCAGGTTTCTAAGTCTGCTAACAGACAACTGTACCCTGGGCATGAATGTCTAGTTACCAGACTCTCCCATCTGGAAGTGTCACTGCACATACAGAGGTAGGACTGGGTCCAAGACTACTTGAGATTGTTATTAACAACTCTACTTCCATCTGTGTATGCACCTTGCCTACATCCCTTTCATACTATCACCAGTGCTGCCCTGGGATAATGACAATGAAAATTCTCTTGTGAAGCCCACTTTCCTTGGGGAGGTATACAAAGCACAATTTGGAGAGTTAGGGAAATGGAATTAATTTTGAACAGAGAAGAGACAGCCTTAGAGATAGTGACTGAGGCCAAAAGGATCCCTGGCTTCAGTGTCAGGTTCCTGATTTGTCCTTTAGAAAGAACTAAACTCTCCTAATTTTGAGAAGTCAGCCTCAGCAACCACTGAGCAAGTCTTTGTGTAAATTACGTAGCTTCTTATCAGAGTTCTGCCTAGAATTTGTGCTATGGTTTGGTTTGTTGATTGAAAATTAAAAAAACCTTTTTTAAAATTGTTTAATAGATGTGTCTCAGAAGATCTGCTGCGGTGGAGAGAGTCCTTCGACTCACTGCTGAGCAGTAAAAGTGAGTAAGACTCTTTTGTTCCTATCTGCCAGTGGCACGTGCATATTCATGTGCTTTAGAGCCAGGGATGCTGAAAACACAGGCAAAATAATTGTAATAGCAATAATAATAATGACCCTCTAGGGTGCCAGCCTCTGTTCAAAATACAAAGGCAGGTCCTTGTTCAAGAAGGTTACATTCTAAAAATACAGCCATTAACTGCAAATGCTATCTTTTCTTCTTTTATTCCCAGCTGTTCCCCAGTCTGACCTGTCTCCCTTTCTTTCCCTTCCACCCCAGAGGGAGTGGCTGCCTTCCATGCCTTCCTAAAGACGGAATTTAGTGAGGAGAACCTAGAATTCTGGTTGGCCTGTGAGGAGTTCAAGAAGATCCGATCAGCTGCCAAACTGGCCTCCAGGGCCCACCGTATCTTTGATGAGTTCATTCGCAGTGAAGCCCCTAAAGAGGTCAGTGCCCCGACATGGTCCACCAGTTCTCCAGACCCTCCTTCCCCTTCCCCGTGGAGAAGCCAGGATAATGGGGGGCTTGCACATGAAGGGCTGGGTTTTGAAGTCAAGAGGAGTTGTCATAGGAAGAATGGGCTCCTGTGGCAAAAGACTAGAAAAGCCAGCTGAGTGCTACTGCTGGACATAACCCTCAGACCCAGATGGAGCAGGATGGGTCAGCAGAATTTTTGGCTTCTGTCCATACCCACCTTTGTAAAGCAGTTATCTTTAGCCCCTCAACACATTTACTAGGGAGACAAGGTCATCATGGGGACCTTGTGCAACCTGGCTCAGTCCCCTGGCTGACCTGTGGTCTGTGGTTTTTGCATTTTTTCGTTTTTTTTGCAATTCAAATTTCCTTCTGGCTGCCTCTGCCTGGCTTTTGAGTTCGGTAAAAGCATGGAGCCCCCTAGTGGAGAAATTAGACTAATGCCTTACGTTTGTATCTGTTAACACTTTTCTGACTGCGTTTATTTATTCTATGTTATTTCATAAAGGTTTATTGAACAGAAGTTACATGAAAGGTGTTGTGCATGTATAGTTTCAGGGACTATAGTAACAAAACAAAGTCCCTGCACTCAGGAATTTATATTCTAATGGAAAATACCAATAACCAATTAAATAAATACAAGCCAGGACAGATGATTTATACTCTGGTACAGCTAAAGTTGGCCATGGAAAGAAGGAGCACCCAAGGGAAGGAGTGGGATGAGTGGAGGTGAGGTCTTCCATTGGACAAAGGGAAGTCAGGAGTGGTCTGTTTGATTAGGTATCAAATGAGCAGAGAGACGAATGAACTGAAGGAGGGAAGGACATTCTAGCAAGAAAGCAACAAGTGCAAAGGCTAGGTGGAGTGGGTTTTAAAAGGCTCACTCAAACTGCCAGAAGGATAGACAGACCAAGGGGATTAGAGAAGAAAGAGACCAGCTAGGAGGCCCTGGAATTGATCTAAGAGGGAGCTGGTGGTGACTTGAACTAGGGCTGTAACAGAAGAAAGGAAATAAGGAGGCTGGGTTTGTATTTACTCTTAAAGTACCCTCACACTAATGCTGAGAGACTGAAAGACACTGGATCTGCTCGGGGGACAGCCTCGGAACTAAGGGCTAGCCATAGCCACAGGAGATTCCAAGTTCCTGTGATCTTTCCACAACCTTACTGCGGTCCAGTAGGCCCTTTTCTTGGCCCCTTCTGCACCCCTTCACCTTGTCATTGTCTCCTTTCCACAGGTGAACATAGACCATGAGACTCGGGAACTGACAAGGACGAATCTTCAGGCAGCCACAGCCATGTGCTTTGACATAGCACAGGGGAAGACGCGCACCCTCATGGAGAAGGACTCCTATCCACGCTTCCTGAAGTCACCTGCCTACCAGGACCTGGCTGCACAAGCCACTGCCACCTCCACCTCTGCATCCAGCTGCAGCCCGGCTGAGCCCTCACACACCTGAACCTCAAGGGCAGTGAGGAAACCAGTGGGAAGCGAGGTGGAGTCACCCATCCCTGAGGCGGCTGCCCCTGTAGGGGATCAGGCTCTGCCCAGCAAGTGCGAGAGGACAGTGGAAGGGGAGCGGTCCTGCAGCCTGCGGGAGGAATATTTGCTCCTCCAGATACTGTGGGTTGGGTGCCATGTGTAAGAATGCTCCCTACATCCAGGAGCTGTGGCTAAGGGCTCTCCGGGGAAAAATATGGGGGTGCAGCAGTTAACTATGGCTCTTGTCCTTCCCAATGGAGCTAGGACAGATTCCAGGGTGCCTAGGGAAATTTGAAAAAGAGAATTGCCATGGATCATTTGAGTTCAATCCCATCTTGCTTTCCTAATTTCCTTAGTTGGCCCAGAAGGAGCCCAGGATATGGAATCTTGCTGTTCTGCCCTGCTCACCTGTCCCTATCCCAGGTCACCCCAGGGCACCTTGGCTTCTGCTTCTTAATGCTACCCTGTGGCCCTTCTTGTAGTCTTCTCAAGGTCAGCAAGTCCATGTGATTCTTGCCCAGAATGACATTTGTATACCTCAAAGAGTGGCCATGAACCCTGAAAAGGGGCCACCTTGCACATGTGAATGCAGCCTGGTGCTCTCGGTGGCCTCATGCAGGTGGCCTCAGCTCTGTGTCTGCAGCAGTTCCACCTGTGAGTGGGCCCTTGTAGGACCTCTCTGAGCTCTCTGAGCCCTTAGAGATGAGGCCCAGGAGGAGGAAGGAAGAGGCCTCAGGGGCAGCAGGGGATAAGGGAGAAAGGGGTCATAAGAAACAAATCTCTTGACAGTGCCTGAAAATCCTGCAGAAAACAAGCCAGTATTTTCTTCAGGCATGAGAAGAAATAAAGAGAGGCCCTAGGGTAGAAAGTTTCTTTCCTGTGAACATGAAATGCACACTGGAGTGTTGGAGGGATGGGGTGGGGACCATGATGGTCCAGGAACAGAATATAAGGCTGGGACTAAAGCTGGAGAGTGGGGCTGTTTGGAAGGGTGAGGCTGGGAAAGTCAGAAGTGGCTACCACTTCAGGCCTCACTGGACAAACATTCTGAGGTGACACTCTGCTTCAGAGCCAGGGGAGTGATGAATCCACTTGGACAGCCAACACTGCCCTCTGTGCACTTGAACTCCTCTAGGAGAAAATTATTTAAGTATAATGTGTTTGCAGTATGCTGAGTTTTTGTTACTGTCATCATTATTTATTATTGTGTTTCAGTTTCTCCCCTGAGAATCTCAGCAGGAGTTGCTGCCTGCCTGTCCCTTTCCCTTCACCAGACTCTACCTCTGAATGTGCTGGGAGCCACTTAAGGCCTGTTAGGAACACATCACTGTTTAAATATTTATTTATTGTTGACCAAGGAAACTGGGTTCCTTGATGTGAGTGATGTATGCAGTTTTGGTCAACATGTTATATTCTTATAAAATAAAAACAAAACTCAAATGCAATACTTTGTCTCCAAGTGTTGTATGGATGGGAAAAAGGGCCAGGGAAGTGTGGAGGTGCTGGGCAGGTGGCAAGCTCCCACTACACATGGGACACCTGTTTACCTGGTAACTGGAAGAATCAGAAAGGAGGGAATAGATGGGTGTTCATGGTGGCCACCAAGGTTGGTGACTTGCTTTTGCTGATAATAGCTCAACTTGTGTTGGGCTGTCTATAGACTAGATTGGCTCAGTGTGCTGTCATTTCGGTCTGTATCTTTTGCCCACCTGACTGAGACTCAGTATTAGCCATTCCCAGTCCTGCCTGTCACAGAACAAGGGCCAACAGATACTCCTTGATCAAATAGCTAAACATTGTCAACTAGGTGGTGATTTTTGTAACTTGTCATTTATGCCCGTGTTCAATTTGCATTAGTATTCTTTTATAACTTCATTGAAATTCAAGGAATAATTATTATTCTGTAATTTCACAGATGTCTGAGATGAAGTATATGAAATTACTCCACATAAAAGGTTTCTTCATCCATGGCTAAGGGCCTGAGAATTGAGTGGGGCTTGAAAGAATTTGGGGGGATGTTTTCAAGGAGTAAAATCTCATTGTGTGTCAATTGCCTACTTGTTCTCATCCTGATAATCTCTCATACATACATACACACTCCCAACCCCAATGCAATTTAAAAAGATTCTTCCTTCTCTGTGTTATCAGTTTATGTACAGAACTGGACCTTATGTTGACTCTCATTTTCCCCCCTATTGTTAGTTTGAGAATAGTAGAGTTTGAGTACTTATCACAGAAACGTCATACAATCACACCCTAAACCCAAACCTAGAGAGTGATTCTCTGCATCACACCAGGAGGAATTCTGACATTAAGGGCCTGGGAAAGAAGATGGGAACTCAGTTACAACGGGTTAGGGGGCAGTTGGTGTGTTTGAGATGGACAAAGGGAAAAAAGCAAAGTACCTCCCCCACTTTTTTTACTACTTTCTTTCTATCTTTTTGCCTTTTCATATGCATTTATCGAGTAGCTCCTGTGTACCTGTAACAGTCACCATCCCATCAATAGCAAGTAGCCTCATTTAATGGGAGAAGAGGTTTTGGAATAAGCCTAGATAAGGGCACACTGTGTCTTCTGAAGTGATACGAGTGCCAAGGAAAAGGATGGTGTAACCCACGAGCGAGAGAAATAAACAGGGCTGACAGCCATGATAAGGACTGTCCAGCGAGACTGTCCTCTGGGCTCAGTCCCAGTTAATTGCTGCCATTCTGCTAGCCTACCTTTCTACAGGAGAACTAGGGGTCAGTGTTGTCTCCTGAAGGTGATAGGTGAACATTAGAGATAAAGAAATTCAATGTTATGAAGATGAGAATGTCCGTGGGTCATTAGAGACACAGAAGCTAGGGTGCAACTATATCAGGAAGATTTGGATGATAATCCAGAGATTAAACCACGGAAAGTCCAACAACAAAAATTAAAATGAGGAAACACTTAAGCAAGACACAAGGACAGACTTTCAGTTCACCAATGGCAAACAGTAGGGCAAATGAGGATGAAAAGGCCTATAGTGAACCACCAGGACACCCTGAACTCAAAGCACAGGAAGTAACAAAACAGATCAATCAGGCTCTAGAAAAATTCAAAACAGAAATAATTTCCCAGATAACCATAGAGATAGCAAAATGGAAGTCGTGATTCGAGACTCTAGAGCAGAAACTGACAGAAAAATAGATGAGCTCAGGACCATGATAGAAGCCATGAAGGCCCAGCATAAGAAAGAAATGGAAAAAACAAACGCCCAACATAGGAAAGAAATGGAATCCATAAAACAGATTCAAACAGATATCCAGGAGATTAAACACTCTATTGAAAGTGTACGCAACAGAATAAAAGAATGCGAAGATAGGCTCTCAGATATAGAAGATAAGATTGCAGTCAGTGACCATGAAAAGAGAGGTCTCTTAAAAACAGTAAGAGATCATGAGAAATCGATCCAACAACTCCTAGATGATGCAAAGAAGAATAACATAAGACTGATAGGAATACATGAAGTAGCAGGAGAAAATACAAATGACTTTAAAAAGCTGTTTGCAGAATTAATGACAGAAAACTTCCCAAACAGAGGGGAAGAATTTGACATTCAGATAACTGAGGCATATAGGACCCCAACTAGCTACAATCAAAAAAAATCTACACCTAGACATATAATAATCAAGATCCCAGAAACCCAACAGAAGAACAAAATACTACAAGCAGTAAGAGAAAAGAAACAAATCACATACAAAGGAAAGCCCATCAGAATCACAGCAGACTTTTCAACACAAACCCTTGGGGCAAGGAGAGCCTGGAATGAGATATTTCAAGTACTAAAAGAGAACAACCTCCAACCTAGACTGATGTATCCAGCAAAACTCTCTTTCAAAATGGATGGGGAAATAAGACACTTCCACGACAAAGAACACCTGAGAAACTACATGAATACCAAACCAGCACTACAAGCAATTCTAAACAAGATCCTAGAAAAAGACAATGAAGGCAACAACACCATGAGGCCCAACAGAGCAAATCAAATAGGCAAGGCAAGAAATTAAAAGGAGAAGGTGAAAAAGTAAAAAGAGTCAACAAAAGGCCAATAACATGTCAATAATAAGTCAGTACATATCAGTTATAACCAGCAATGTCAATGGCCTCAACTCACCAATCAAGAGAAATAGACTGGCAAAATGGAATAAGAAGCAAAATCCAACAATATGTTGTATACAAGAAACACACCTAGTGCAAAAAGAAGCCCATAGACTGAAAGTGAAAAGATAGAAAACAATTCTCCATGTGACAGGAGCCCAGAAAAAAACAGGGGTAGCAATCTTATTTGCAGACAAAGTAAATTTCAAACCAAAACTGAATCTAGTATTATTGATGTAGGACAGTACTGTATCATACCTCTATGAATGTAAAATATCTAGTACCTGCTTTATGATACATAGTAGGGACCGTGCTTTATCAGAGCTACATTTAATGATATTACTCTAGAATGTTCTCTTTCCAGATGATGATTAAGAGGCTAATAGAAAAAATGGTGCCAGGTACCACAACAGCAACAGAACTTTGCTGTTGTCTGGATATTATTCTTTTCTTTGTTTTTTTTTTTTATTATGGAATGTGCTGAATGTCTATAATTTTGTTCAGATGACTGCAGAACCTGGAAAAGCTGTTGCTGCTATCGATGCATAACATACTATTATTAGTCTTTATATACACACACACACACACACACACACACACATATAAATTGAATTTTGGGAAACTTCAACGGTGCTGCCAACTTTGGAAAAAGTCATCCCAATTTACTGTGTTGACTTGGCATTGTACAGAAACGGACAACTATATTGGTCTAGAAATGTTAATTTATTTTTTATTTTTTCCATGTGTACAGGGGTAACACATCGTACTAAATATGTAAGGTCATATGTACGTGGGTTTGATTACAGAAACTAATAAAGTATTCTCTACATAATGAAAAAAGAATAAGATAAGACTATAAGAGGGAGAAGCAATTTAAATATGTTCAGGGACCATTTTCATCTCCAGAATTAAGGATTATTTTGATGTTACATCATTGCCTTTTCTCTTTTACTTTCCTTTTTAGTTTTATTTTAGGATTCCCTATTTTTAATGTTCATACAGAGATTTCTTTAACTGAAATACCGAATAGTTTCTTTGGTGTGAAAAACTATAATAGTACACAGGATCCTAATGAGACAATTAATAATGTGAAATAGGAAGTAAAGGGCTAAAGACGTAAGGAAAGTGGGAAGGGTGGGGGGAAAGGTAATAAGGGAGAGAAAAAAATATGAAAAACTGAAAAAATGGAAATAAAGCGTTTGAATGGGGAGG